GTAGACGGAAATGTCGACGCTTATGCCTCCCATGGAAATATTTTTCCCAGAAAGCTTGTGATCCTCACGCAAGCCCAGCCAAAGGCACGAGATCCTCGCCAACGCAGCCTGCCCCACCACTTTCACCCGGTACACCATGCTCAGATCTGCAGCTGCTGCCCATAACTCATTTCCAGAAACATTAACCGACCTCCCTGAGTCGTCATCATAGCCCTCTAGATCCGAGTGGGTCACAACCACCATCGACCCATCATCAAACACAACCACATTCCCAGAACAAACCTGCTTCACATTTCTCGGGATCAAAGCTGAAGTTGCATCAGTTAAGGACCTCTGAGTACTGAGCACCTTGACATGGTAGTACTCAAGAACCGCCTGCAGACACACCAAGGAATCAGAGGATGAAGGAGAACAAGAAAGAACAAAACAACGGATGTGCCCCTGTCAATTACCTTCCATTGGGTGGCAGCTAAAAGAACCCTGGGCCTGCTTGACCTCACGTAGGCATACGCTGCTTCGGGTGTCATGTGCTTATGTTGCACCTGCGTTGCAAAGATATGATCAGGGAGAGAAAAAAGGTTTCTTTGATCAAATTGTTATGGGATTAAATGCAGAACAAACCAAGTAGCATATGACAATAGTTGTGCTGCGGCCCCGACCCGCCTTGCAGTGCACATAAGTCGTTTTCCCAAGCAAAGCATTTCCTTCAACGAGATAAAATATAATTCAAGATCAAATGAACACAACTTCCAACAACTGTAAAATTCTTAAACAATGGCAAAAAAAAAATAAGAGTACAAAAGAATAAAATGAGAAGAAGCTTACGATGGATAAAATCCACAGCTTGGCATATCGCTTCCATGGAAGGAGCAAAGCAATAATCTGTCGTTGCAATCACCAGGTGGTCAATGCAGTAAGACTTCAATAGGAAACAATAAAATGAGGTCAGTATATAGAAAGAAACCAAAAGAAAGGGGACTATTGTATTTCGTCACAATGGTCAGATTAAAAGAACAGACTTTGTAAAGAGATGATGGAACCAAAGTTTCATATGGTTCAGTCAAAGTGATCACTCCACAAACACCTTGCTCTTTCAGCCGTGGAACATCAGATTGGAATGGAACAGCTCCCAGTAAAATAAACTGTAGACACAAAATAAACAGAGACAGCGAATGATTAGCATAATACACAGAACATAATTGTAGGTGAAGCACAATTTGTGAAAAAAAGTAGCAAACTTTCGTCGAATTCACCAAAACATCAAACGCAGAACAATATACATTATATTTCTACAACACCAATGCAACAATATCCATTGAATTGACATAAATCAGCTCAAAAGAAGGGATATTATATACCTCTGCAACTCTATCCCACCACTGAAACTCAGCCTCAAGCTTATTCCTCACAACGTTGTAAATCAAAGTTGGATAAAACAAGGCACGAGCACCAACACCAACCAGTGCTTTCTTCGTCGTCAACACAATCACGTTTCCTCTGCTCACAAATATCGCTTTATCTCCACCATCGACACAATCCTCCACCGAATTCTCCCCCTTCTCTTCCCTTTCCGTTAGTTCTTCGATATACATATCCTCAAGTCAAAAGATCAAACCAACACAAACAATCTAATTCTCCAAACAACCCCTAAATCACAAGTCTTATATAAATATATACACAGACACGATTTTTTAAATTCACAACATCAAACACGGAAGAAAACCCCCTAATGGTTGTAATTTACAAGATTCGTAGACAAAGCCAAGAAGAAAGTCTACACGAAATCGAAATCGCGATAAAGTCAAGCGGAAGCAACCGGAGAAATTTCGAATTGAAAATCTTCAGGGAAATCACCACCATATTTCGCCTGAATCAACAGATTAGATCAGACGCCGGTAACGACGAGAACGGAGATGATAAACGCCGATCACCGATGGACAATCAATCGCCTATGAATCGGATCGAATCGAAATTTGAAGATGAATCGGAAGTTTCTGGGGAAATTTTGGGGATCGAGAATTTTGCCTAATCTTTACTCAACCTTTAGGTTTCTCTTAAAGAGAGGAGAACGAGAAA